TAAAAAAGTCCGTCTATATTTGATAATATTATTAATGAGTATCTCAAAAATGCTCCTGAAATCTGCTGACTGTACTTAAGCTATTTTTTAACATTATAATTAGACTCTGGTATTTTTCCGGATGTGTGGAGCAAGGGACGTTATCTTGACCATTGTATAAAATAAAGGGGATGTTAATATGAAATTCCGGATAATTTTACTAGGGGGCATAACAATACTTCAGTTGCTTTGGAAAATTTTCACTTCGGTACTTAATAACAGATTAAATGACTTCTTGGAATCAAACAACATTCTATGTGAAAGAACAAGCAGGTTTTTCAGGAAGCATTATATAGTACTGTTGATCACATATTTTCATTAAAACTTCTAGTGGACGTATATCTAGCACATGGAAAAAAATTGTATTGCTGCATTTGTAGATTATCGCAAGGCCTTTGATTCTGTAAAATCGCACTGCCATGTGGCATAAATTATTAATTACAATATTGATGGGAAAAATGCTTTAAAAATAATACACAATATGTATGAAAAAGCTAAGTCATGTGTTAGTTCGAATTAATACAATTTCAGATTTTTTCACTAGTCATACTGGAGTAAGAGCAAAGGTGAAAACTTATCTCCAATATTGTTTTCTCTTTTCTTGAATGATCTAACTAATTTTATGGTTTCTGATAAATATGAAGGTTTACAGTTTCTAAAAGAACATAAAAATGGATATGTTAAGTGCATGATGAAATGGAAGTTTATCTTAAACTGTATTTACTATTGTATGCAGATGACACTGTATATTGTCAGAGAGCTCTCAGCAGCTTCAGTTAGCATTAAACGCTATGTCTGACTACTGCAAGCTTTGGAATCTTGAAGTAAATACAAATTAAAACCAAAGTTATTATATTTTGGAAAAAAACCAAGAGAGGTTTGCGTAATATGCCTAACTTTCACTATGAAAAGGGGAACTGTCTTGAAATTGTTGAGCATTTCTCATATTTAGGTGTACAATTTTTTATTTTAATGGTAAATTCAGCAGAACAAAACATTCTCTATTGATCAAGCCCGTAAAGCCGTGTTTTCTGTAATTAGTAAATCTAGGATACTTAATTTACCAATAATATGCAATTACACTTGTTTGATACAATGATAGCACCCATTTTGTTTGTATGGGGTGTGAAGTTTGGGCGTGTTGAAGATGTGAGTTTGTGGATAAATTTCAATTAAAATACCTAAAAGATAATCTACAGTTGCAAACACAAGTACTCCAAATGTTAATTTGATTTATGGGGAGTTGGGTATTACCCCACTTTCAACACCAAATTAAAAGTAGAGTTTCTTTAATTACTGGGGTAAAATAGTTAATTCTAAACATGATCAGAATAATCAGCATTCTATATAGAAACAACTCATAATTTATATACTCTGAATAATATTAAATCAGATTGGGGTCTGTTTTGTTTCGAAATAATTTAAATGATCTTGGATTGTCGCATTTCTGGATAAATCAAAAAATGTGGAATCTCCTGCTTTCATTCAAGAATACTGTCAAACTTAAGACTGCGTGATCATTATATGCCGAAGGAGCAAAATTGAGAGAAGTACAATTAATAATTCCAGTAAATGTCTAAATTACAGGATTTATAAACAGCAGGCGGATTTTTTTTTTTGAGCCATACCTCAGCCAAGTTACCTATGAATTTAGATCTTAAATTCTCTTTAAATTTAGAAGTTATGAATCACAAACTTCCTATTGAAAAAGGAAGGTTTGATGATATTCCAAGAGAACTTAGAAACTTGTAATCTATGGTACCAGTAACTCTTTAGGCGACGAATTCCATTATTTTTTTGAATGTTCACATTTAGTTAATACAAGAAAGCGCATCTTGATAAATATTTCTATGAACATCCAAGTGCTTTAAAATTTGAAAAAATTAATGAACCCATAGTAATACAGATATCCTTTTGAAACTTGCCATATTTGCAAAAATATTATGTTATTATTTAAATAATGTTAGCTTATTTAGATTTATGTCTTTTCTCTTTGTTTTTTTTTCTCGCAATGATTTTTTTGATTTTTCTCTCTCATCCTCCATTATCAGTCAATTATTACTGTAATTTTATTACATCATGGTGTTGTATGACTATTTATAATTTGCCATTTTGTAGTATTTTGTTTTTACATATTATTTGCCATTTTGTATTATTTTGTATGTATGTATGTACTGTTTTATGTTGTCACATGCCCATATGGGCCTTGACGTATTCAAATAAACCTTGGAAACCTTGAACCTAAGCAGTGATCTCCCCTTATCAGTACATAATCTGTAAAGGGAGGTAATCACTGTGAGGTGTTTGCTTCACACTAGTATGTTTGCATATGTAAATGACGTCACGTCAAAATATAAACCATTTCTACGGAGTCGCAAAAGCGGCACGGACATGTGATAAAAATGTTTTTTTTATGGTTTTATTTTTGTAATTTTTGTTTCCTTTTCTCACATTTTTTAAACATTCACAAAATGTTAATTCGAAAGCAACAACAAGAACACTTTAAAGCAATTTACAGGTTTATCATCAAATGAGCCGCGTCACGACAAAACCAACATAATGCGTTTGCGACCAGCATGGATCCAGACCAGCCTGCGCATCCGTGCAGTCTGATCAGGATCCATGCTGTTCGCTTACAAACCCTATAACAAGTAGAGAAACTGATAGCGAACAGCTTGGATCCTGATCAGACTGCGCGGATGCGCAGGCTGGTCTAGATCCATGCTGGTCGCAAACCCATTATGTTGGTTTTGTCATGACACGGCTCAATTTATTTTAGGTTATTCAAATCAACACATTTTTTCTGTAATTAACATTCATTTTTTATTGAATGTCAACAGGAAGCCGTATTTATATGATCGGCGGAGTATCAAGCCCACCTGACCGCGTTCTACAGTCCATTGAATGTTATGACACGATGGACCGTTGCTGGGTTTCTGGAATTCAGGATTTACCTTACCCAGCTCGATGGATCTGCTGCTGTTCTGTTCCTTCTAAACCAACCAAGCAATGAACTTAGCTTTACAGAACTCACATTTTGAACTAACATTTTACATGGAAACTTTTATATTTTGGAAATTTTATATTTTATATTTTCCTGCAGATATTTCAACTTGTTTTCTTTTTATCAGATTTTTTGTGTATCTTTTATTTGGACAGGGACTGTTAGGGATGGTTTCTATAGTGATTTACTTGGATTAACAGCTTATGACATTATGTTAATATATCATATCAAAGTATATACATGTAGTATGTTAAAAAACAGCACATTTTTTGTTTTATGTAGATCTATAACCATCTGCAATTTTATATGACGTTCCTAATTGTTCATTTTCTACTTTTTTAAGTCTACTGTAAAATTTTTATTAAAGGAATAATGTACGGAAGCTGTTTTCCAGTTTCTTATTTGAAACTTCTTTGATGTCGCCAAAGTTTCACATGCAATCCTTCTCCAAGAGGATGTCAGTTGTTAATATATTTAAGTAAAAATGACTTCAGCAACAACAGCCGACGTCATTTGTGACGTAGTAATCTGCCATTGTTTCAGTTACAAGGCTATCTGTGTAGTCCAAGTCGAACAAGTAACACATGTTCTGCAATTTATTAAACGCAAAAGAGCTACATGCGTTGCTAGGTAACGTGCACGAGTGAGCACATTTGACTTTTGTAGAGATATACAAGCTTGCTACAGGAATGACCTTCAGTTGTGGCATCTTCCCATTCGATGCAAGACGAAAATAGCCTCGTTCTGAATGACATTGTTCAACTAAAAAGAAGTGCATCATATTAACAAAGATTTTAATGACATATGTCTGAAAAGACTCAAAGGATTTAACTCACTGCAGTGTTGGAGCAGTACCTATAGACTCTTGCACAAATAAAATCCTTAAATGAGGTTAACTTAAGAACTCAAAGAACAAAAAAAAAAATCCTTCCGCGGACCGCAACTATTTTATGTACATATGTTTAATGATGGTCATGTTACGACAAAAAGCTCTCGTCAAATTTTCTGCAGGATGCAGCCCTTGACATTGTGATCAGTTGGCATGATCTGATAAGACCAAAATTGCTTTGATAATATTAGCAATGGTAAAAGTTCAGATTACAATGCGGTTGCTAAATAATATCTTAAATGAAAATAGAAAAGAGAAAAACTTATATCAAAGTAAAATTACAATAACCTGACCTGTTTTGACTCCTATGTAAGACGGCCACAATGTTGACATGCATCTGCTAACAGCTATATCATAATCTGCAGACGATATCTTTGCATCGTAGAACTGAAAACACGTGACCTTTCCTAGGTAACAGCTGTAACCAGGATAAAATGCACCACCTATTCGTACTTTTCCTGGTAATCCCAAAACTTTATCTTCCGCATACATTTTTATTTTGGTTGATTCAGTTCCAACGTATAAGTACATTACCTTCACTTCCTCAAAACTTGTTGAGTCGTAAACAACAAGGATTGGCAGGAAGTGGCCATCTTGAAAATTCGAAACTAATGAAGCTGTATGTAAAATATCTTCAGAAGATTCGCCAATTATGTATAAAAATGTTGTCATATTTTCGTAGTAAAGTATAATATTAATTATTTCCGTGCTGCTGCCTGTTTGAATATGTTTCTGGTAATGAAGAATTGTTCCGTTGAAGCCTTCTGGTGAAACTAAAATCATGAGTGAAAAATCATTTATTGTATTTCTCGTTTCGAAATTGACGTCTATATATGAATCTTCACAACCTTGTAATTTTAGACCACTGTAATCTAATAGCGGATGTCCACTGGTGCTTGATGTGCAGCGTGCATTTCCGGCGGATGAATTTGCGACAATTTCTGTTGTTGGATAGTTCGGAGAGAGAGGCCAGGCATAAAATGGACGCGAATAGGCAAATGTTGTACGATAACCTAGGGTTTGAAATAAAAAATACAATTATTTATTATACTTATAAACGAAACATTGAGAAATACTGATGAAATAAAATGCGTATTTTCATTTTCCGTATTTTCAATGTAAAAAATATTTTTCACTGCAGTGAAACATATTTTCCGTATTTCACTGGTGTCTTGCCGGACTACTTTCTGCTATATACAAATAATATACAAAATTTAAGAGAAAGTCATTCAAATTCTAAAATAAGAGAAAAAGTAAAAAATAAACAGAAAATTCAAGTTTTTTTTCTACAAATACAGGATTTATTTTCATCTTGTGGCATGAAAATTATCATATTCCACTCGTGGATACCGCCACTCATGAAATATTTATTTTCATACCACTCGATGAAAACAAAGACCGTATTTATAGAAAAAAACTTGAATATCCTCTATATATTGTTAAATATATGTTCATGTTTATAGACAGGAAATTCAAGATTTTTTTTCATAAATACAGGAAATATGGTAATTTTCATACCACGAGATGAAAATAGTTTTCATAAATGAATTTTCTGTTTATTACAATGTAAATTCGAAAAAATCCCTTTTCTTAAATGCATTGCCTGAATTTAAAAGAAAGTAGTCTAGCAAGACACCAGTACGGAAATATCCAAATACGGAAAATATGTTTCCACTGCAGTGAGAAAAATTCACAATAAAAATACGGAAAATGAAAATATGCATTTTATTTTATCAATATTTAATTATAACATTTAAGCATATAATAAATATATTACTAAAAAAGTAAAGAGTATACAGTCATTTATTCTTCTGATATGAAAAAAGAATGTAAATATTTTAATATCATTTTGAACTAGTATTTGACTTTAGGTGCACATGTCTTTTGTAAATATCAGTTCTTCCCGGTTTAAACCCTAATACGTTTAACTCGACATTTCGTTATCTCGATATGTTTAGAACGATCCCATAGACTTCGAAATAACTAGAGTCGACTGTATATTATTAATTGTTTATGGCAAAGTTAAGTAATTTTTACACAGCTTATAATAATAAAATCAACTAATGTAATAACATAATAATAATAATAATAATTATAATAATCATAATCACCACCATCATCATCATCATCATCACTATCATCATAATCATCATAATATTTATAATAATTATGATGACAAAATAACTGTACTGATTATACTAACGACTGATATGAAAATAGCAATTATCAACATCATCGTCACCATCATCATATCAACATCGTTATCATCATATATTCATCAGCTACAGCAGCTCGATCGACATATCACCATTATGACAATTATGATAATAACAAATAATTTTCAATCTTTTAAAATGTACTCACATTTAAGAAATATTCATAAGATACAAAAATATATGTAATAAATATAAGTAACTTAGACATGCCTTGTAAAGTGAATATAACACCTAAGATCGTATCCATGGTAATGCACGTGCTCCAGGTTCCCGACATAATCTTAGCTATAATGTACAGGCTCGTGTTTCATCTGCCACAACTTTTCTACCACTGAACTTTTACTTGATGAAGCAACGGCTTTCTTGAGTAAAGGTGAAAAAAAGATTTGCATAACATTGATTTTATAAGAATCTTATAATCCGGGTGTAAAATGAAAGTTTGCGATAATCTTGCTTCTATATATGGAATGAACCGGATATTATTTATAAGAATACGGAAATTAATTCGAATTACAGTACAAAGCATAAAATAATCCTGATCTCATTTTTTATACTGATTTAGTAAATCCGCACTGAAAAGTCCGTCTTAGATATGCTTTCGTAATTATTTTCAACCGGGTGAATCTCTGACTTAATGATAATTAATTTTCTTTCATACATTTAACAATATGAATAAATCGACTCTTATTTTCTTCAGCTTATCATTTGCTTATAAAAAGGACACAATATTGAATGATGTACACAAATTATGTAATTCAAATCAGTTGATTTAATGTGATTAAATAACAACCGCGAATGCTGCAACTGTTGTTACGACGAATACAGTGATGTAACAATGTAACTTATATGTAGACATTACATTACATCTGAGAGATCAGTTACAATATGACCAGTGAGAAAATAGAGTCGCGGAAAATGGTAGCAACATGGCGCATTTAGATAGTTGTCCGCTTTTCTCCTTAAACGTATATTTCACTAACTGTAATAACACAATTTAAAAGCGGCGACATGACTGATCAAAGATCACAGAAACCATAATATAATATGATTGTCATGCCATTTTATGTTCTGCATCAGTGTTCAATTCATTTTTGTCTATCCGAATTAACAGTGTTGACATGTTATTCACTGATTTTTACTTCTTGGACATATTTTTGTGCGTGTTTTTTTTTTAATCTGATCTAAAAGTTGATGATAACCATGGCCTATTTTGTGTGTCTTTTCATAAATCTGAAAAACCTGTTGTGATTGTCGCTGTACGTGTACGGTGTAATTCACATTTGAGATCAATTGAATGTGTAAATATACTAATAAAGTACAATAAAAACATGGTATTATAAATTCTAGTGCTTTTAAATTGGGTTAGTGACTATCTCAGTGATAGAAAACAAAAGGTGGTTCTTCCAGACGGTTCCTCTCAAACCGTTTTTTATTTCAGCCGGAGTTCCTCAAGGGTCCATTCTAGGCACTCTTCTCTTTTTAATCTATATAAATGACATTGTTCTTGACATAAACTCATATATGAGACTCTTTGCAAACATTACAAGTTTGTATATCATTGTTGAAAATCCATTTCATGCTGCGGATACTCTTAATTCTGATCTGAAAAAAAAACACAGAATAGGCAAATGGTTGGCTTGTAGACTTCAATCCAAGTTAAACGGAATCAGTAGTAGCCTCTCGTAAAGTAAACAAACCGATTCATTCCCCATTGACAATGAACTGAGTGCAAATAAATGGAGCGACCTCACACAAACATCTTAGAGTAACATTTTCCAATGATAAAAATTGGCATTCCCACATACAGAAAATTACAAAAAAAGCCTGGCAAAGAATTTATATTATGAGATCTTTGAAATTCATTTTTGATCGTAGGTCACTTGAAACTATATCTCTCTCTTTCTTTTGGCCCCTTCTGGAATACTCAGATGTTGTTTGGGACACAAAACTCAACAAGATGAATTTGAACTTGAAAAAATCCAACTTGAAGCCTGCAGAATAATAACCGGTACAACAAAACTAGTTTCTATCGCAAATCTTTATGAAGATACTTGCATCCAACCCCTTAAAGTAAGACGCTACAAACACAAACAAATTATTCTTTATAAAGTATTCAATAATCTTTCTCCTTATTACCTCTCTTCATTAGTTCCCGATACAGTAGGAGAATCTTCAGATTATAATTTACGAAATGCAGACAACGCTAGAAATATATTTTGCCACACACAACTTTATTCTCATTCATTTTTGCCATCATCAATTAAAGACTGGAACAATCTTCCTTTTAATTACAGAAGTTCACCATCCATTTCAATTTTCAAAAGAAGACTTAATGAAGATGTCAAAAGTGTGCCTTCTCATTATTATGTAGGTGAGAGAAAATACCAGATTTCATCCTACATATAAACTCACTAATGGGCCCACAGAGAGAAGACGCAGCTATCAGCAGCCAGTGGTCATAACGAGGCATTAGCAGCTACGGTCAAGACGTATAATTGTTCTTAATTAAAGTAAAGCCTGTCGTATTTTTCACAAGTTTAAATTATTATAGTGTAATTATTTAGGACTAACAAGTGTTTCATTTGTGGATATTAATTAAGCAGTTAAGAAAAGTGTGATAAGAGGTATGTTTAATTTATTTGTATATATTTATTTTAAGTTTATACTTAAAATCGTTTACCTTTTTGTCAAATACAAAAAAAAAAAAAAAAAAAAAAAACCTCGTATATGTTTGATGTCTGAACACCACAGACAATATATACATTTGTAGTTATACATTTTATAACAACAATATTTATTAGCCAATTTTGTCTGAACACTGCTGCCAAATACGAAAAAAGAAAAAAAAATGTCTGAACACCACAGGCAAAACAAGATACAGTGTTCGTAATCATGCTTATCCAAACACCATGGAAAAGCAAAAATTGTCTGAACACCACAGACAAACGACTCATTTGTTCGTAATGAAATCATGCTTATCCAAACACCATGGAAAAGCTAAAACTGTCTGAACACCACAGACAAAAGATACATTTGTTCGTAATTATGCTTATCCAAACACCATGGAAAAGCTAAAATGGTCTGAACACCACAGACAAAAGATACATTTGTTCGTAATTATGCTTATCCAAACACCATGGAAAAGCTAAAATGGTCTGAACATTACAGACACAAATTATATAATATTATCTGTTTGCAATAGGGCGTGTTCATGCAACATGACATAAATAATAATAATAATAATAATAATAATAATAATAATAATAATAATAAATAAAATAAAAAAAAAAAAAAAAAAAATAAAAAAAAAAATAAATAAAAATAAATAAATAAAAAAATCAGGCGTCTTGCATATCACAGAGGGACGAATTAATGATTTATGTAGATATCTATTTGACGGCGTTTTTTACGTCTGACTGCGATTAAATTCTAATCGTTTATATATGTTTCTACTTC